TTCCCCACTCTGTTTCACTTATTCTGCATATCTTTTGTTTTACTGTGAATACATAATATTGAAGATCACAGCCATTTATAAATGCTTGTGTCACTATCAGCAATGAAATTAATATGTTCAAGAAGCCAGTACTGATGAAAATACAAACTCTTCCCTCGTGTGATGCAACAATACCACTAGTGTCGTTTCTCAGTAAGACCATGGAGGAGACCCTGCCAACATTGATCTAGTCAGTTTTGATTGGTTGGCATGGGCAGGCCAAAACCTGAGGGATGGGGGATTGCTGAGGAGGATTGCTGGGTGTTTGCTCCGACAAGGTGCACATTTGTTAAGTATTTTTTTTAATTGAGTAAATAGGCTAATCTATTTACCTTCTCAACTACCTATTAAAAGATGGCATTTCTCCCTCAACCAATCCCCAAAAAACACTTTTTAGAAACTGAAAAGTAGGAATGAACCATTTAAACAACGTGTTCAGTAAGTGTGTGTTCGTACACATTTGACTTATCAGAGTTGTGTGTACGAGTTCAAGTGAGGTGCACCCTGAACTTGAAATCCTGCATACAGGCCTGCACCCGATTTCATCAAACTCTTTGTAACTTACGTTGCATCGCAGTGTTGCGACGCTTCGTATCCCTACGATGCGTCGCAGCTGCGACGCGTCCTGCGATCCATTTCACAAAACACGTCGTAGTGCGATGCGTCGTATGTGTATTTATAGCACAACTCGGTGACTGTTTTATGTATTTAGTCAGCGTACAGAAAAAAGTTGTCTGATATTCAACAAAGAGTCGTCGGATCTCAGCTTGAAATTTGTTAAAACGTAAAACAAAATGGTGGTCGTGCGATGCAATTTTGAAGGAAAACAAGCTCTCAGTGGACTGTATAGCTACTTTGAAATTTCAACTGCAATATTCCAGTCTAATTCATAATTATTCAATGAATTTTCTATTTACAACTTTACACACATTGTCTCGGTATTATATTCTCGTTTATGTAATGTTTATGGCATTAAACTGGCTAAGAAAGGGACTCTTCTTATTTTGCGGGGACCACTAGACACATCGTAACTTGCGACGTGTTTTAAGCCGTTGTCAAGGAACTTACGACGCGTTCAACACATCGCAACCTTCGTAAAAAGGATGATACGATGCGTCGCGTCGCGACGCGTCACAGCGCTTCATGAAATCGGGTGCTGGTGGGCTTTGTATAAATTAGCATGCACATCAGGCGTTGCCAGGACGGGGAATCAAGCAAAGGAATCTTGCCCACATTGTAATCATATTTGGCTGTTATGCCACATTCTGAACCAACAGCTATGTCGTAGACAGATTACAAGCTTTGTTTGAGAGAAATATGGGGTTAACTAGTCAAAAAATATGAGATTGCGCAATACCCCTTGATACACGTCAATGCGCCTGGCGGCGGGATAGGGGTTGGGGTAGTTTTGACCCAGGAAAAACGTGACCCGCGTAAGAAAATATCTTATAAATAAAAAAAAATGATGTCATGATGACGTCATCACGTGACACATGACGTCATAGTCAATAAACATATTTTGAAGGCATATATCTCCTGAACTACATGACTGATTGGGCTAAAAGTCTGTATGTACCTAGACCGGGATGCGTTATAGATGAACATTGTAGTGGCGTCATGATGACGTCATCATGTGACATATGACGTCAAAGTAAAGTTGCATATTTTGGAGGCTAAATACTTATGATTGGAAAAATGGTTTCGCAAAATTGTGCACAATTTCTGTTGATATGACTACATGCGACATGCGACAAGTTCCATTCGGTTGACAAACATAGTTTCTACCTAAACCTCAATATGATATTGATCACAATATCAGTCATGTCATGATGACGTCATCAGATAAGAATTAATAGACATTCAATCCAATCTGCATTTTTACACATGTCTTTGAACCATTTGATTTGGCAACTTTCGACTTCACATCTATTATCTCCCGTTAGTGTATAACATGACATAAAAAACACAATAGCGAGCCAGCCATAATTATGTTTGTCAACAAACATACATCTAGTCTTTTTGGCTTTTCCGCTTTTCCGCATAGTTGCCGAAAAGCCTTTCTTTTTGCACTGGTTTTTCTTTCTTCTTCTTCTTGTCGCCTAAACCCCATAGACTTTGTACACGTCTTTTCTCAACGCCACTTTTTGCATGAATCTTTGTCATACATCATTCAAAGTCAGCATAGGCATAGTCCTTATAGCATAGTTGTCTCCCGAAGAGTGACGTCATCATGACGTCATCATTTAATCTGTGAAAATCAGTGTAAAATTAGCTGTGAGAGACCCGTGTAAAATCAGCCGTGAGAGATCCGAACTTGACGTTTGCGGGAATTGATAGAATAATCCAGGATCTTCATTTTATCTCGTTTGAGCAAAATCACGTGACCCTTCCTTCCTTAACTGGAAGTAATTCGAAGTGCCTTATACTTTTTGCCTTATACTGTGGCTAGGTTGTTCTTTACAAAAAAAATTCTGGTGACGTCATAACATGTTAGAGCGCCCTCTAGCGGCAGGTTTACACCGTCTGCAAATGGTGCCTGACTGACTATTCCGTGCAAAATATGGGAGCCCAGAAAGGCCACATAAAAAAAGCTTATCCTCGATCGTAACCCCATCTAGAAACACGTTAAAATTGTGCAGCAGCAGGATTCCAGTCGAACCAGTGAGTTTGGTGGTTTTGAGACATCATCTTACATTGAAAAAAAAAACTTTTTAATTTTGCCGACGCGCATGGCTATGGCGACGCGCGCGCATACCAGAAACAGAGCCTTTTTTGGCCTAATAATCGTTTACTTCGTTTCGTGTGAATAAAAAGGAGTAAATGCTTCAGATTTCAAACATGCACTTGTCATTTACAAGGCTGGGTTGGGGCAACCTTGAAATGATAAAGCAAAATAATTCTGCGCAAAAATTATTGCATTTATTAAAGTTCATAAAGTACAAATGATACCATGTTGGTATGAATAAAACATGGCATTTGCTTTTACTACCACTTTTGAAGCATTTACTCGCATCTGTATGAATGAAAATTAAGCAAACACTTTTACTAAAAACCAGTTGCTCTCGAGTAAATGGCCTGCAAAATGTAAAGCTTTACACGTTTATAAGTTTGGAGAAAATAAAACTATCGTAACCGAAACGGAAAGCGGCACCGAGAGGGGTCACGTGCTGGAGGACAGATAAAAAAAAAGTGCACCAAACGTGACGAACGCAATGCCGTTTAAGCGCACAATGCGCTGTGCATCGGCACCCATGGTCTACATGTGGATTGGGTTTTCAGTCCCTACCTGATTCCATGGGTTTTCCCCGGACTATTCTTCTGGGGTTTTCCTCCCACCTCTAAAACTGTAATTTCTTCTCATTGTCTTCTCTCTACAGGTTTTTTTTTTGAGGGTTTGCGAGCTACAGTGCCTGGAGCATGCACATTTGAGGAATCCATGGTTTCATTACCAGAAATAAGAAAAACTTATTTATCGTTTACTTTGTTTTGTATGAATATAAAGGAGTAAATGCTTCAGATTTCAAATATGCACTTGTCATTCACAAGGCTGGGTTGGGGCAACCTTGAAATTATAAAGCAAAATAATTTTGCGCAAAAATTACTGCATTTATTAAAGTTCATAAAGTACACAAATGATACCATGTTGGTATGAATAAAACACGGCATTTGCTTTTTCTACCAATTTTGAAGCATTTACTCGCATCTGTATGAATGAAAATTAAGCAAACACTTTTACTAAAAACCATTTGCTGAAATCTGAAAATAATTACTTTTCACCTTTAAGCTTTTGCTACACTATAAGCGTTTACTTCATTTCTTATGAATAAAAAGGAGTAAATACTTCAGATTTCAAATATTTACTTGTCATATTTCAAGGTTGGGTTGGGGCTACCTTGAAAATATAAAATCACATAATTCTGCGCAAAAATTACTGCATTAATTATTGTTAATCGCGTAAAAGTACAAATAATACCATACGGTAGTTCGTATGAATATAAACTGGCATTTGCAATACTCCCAACTGTATGAATAAAAATTAATCAAAGGCTTTTACTGAAAACCATTTGTTCTTGAGTAAATGGCCTGCAAAATGTAAAGCTTTACGCGTTAATAAGTTTGCAGAAAATAAAACTATCGTAACCGAAACGGAAAGCGGCACCGGGGAGGGTCGAGTGCTGGAGGACAGATACAAAAAAGCGCACCAAACAACTCTAAAACTGTAATTTCTTCTCACTGTCTTCTCTCTACAAGTTTTTTTTGGGGGTTTGCGAGCTACAGTGCCTGGGGCATGCACTTTTGAGGAATCCTTGGTTTCATTACCAGAAAAAAAATATTTATCGTTTACTTCGTTTCGTATGAATAAAAAGGAGTAAATGCTTCAGATTTCAAATATGCACTTGTCATTCACAAGGCTGGGTTGGGGCAACCTTGAAATTATAAAGCAAATAATTCTGCGCAAAAACTACAGCATCTATTATACCTTAATCGCGAAAAATTAATATTAACAAAGTTCATAAAGTACAAATGATACCATGTTCGTATGAATAAAACATGGCATTTGCTTTTACTTCCAATTTTGAAGCATTTACTCGCATCTGTATAAATGAAAATTAAGCAAACACTTTTACTAAAAACCATTTGCTAATATCTGAAAATAATGAGTTTTTTACATTTTAGCTTTTGCTACACTATAAGCCTTTACTTCGTTTCATATGAATATAAAAGGAGTAAATGCTTCAGATTTCAAATATGTACTTGTCATATTTCTGAAGTCATTTATCTACAGAACTGTAAGTCCGATTGGGTTGAAACTTGGTATGTGGCTAGACCGGGATGTGTTATAGGTAAGCCATATCTCACGAACACAACATGCAAAGTTAACAATTCTTTTTGTATTTGGTTTGTAAGGTAATAGTGGGGGGGGGGGGGGGCGTGATATTTCTATATTGCGAGATACATACATGTCTTACCATGCTGGTGTCATTGTCTATGCTGGGAGTTCTCCCTCTATCTCTGGAGGAGCTCTGAGCTGCTGCAACCTTTCTGCTTATTGAATGACATGTTTTGCTGTGACCTAATGTAATTGCTTGGCACATTTGATCTGAAAGACAACCACAAGAGAGATAATTATCAAATATAGTTGAACTAACAAGAGGACTTTGAAAGATTCAGTTCACAACGTCCAGTATGTACACAATCACGGTTGCTTTTTTATTGAAAGTACTCATCATATATTACTATGACAGAAGAGGTTGTGGTTAAGGTTTGACTGACAGATCAAACTGTGACAGAAAAATAGCTATGTATCAGAATTGGCATCATCAGTTAAAAACATAAAACTAATTCCAAAGCAAGGAAACAAACGAACACTCTGAACACTGTAAAAGAGCATCAAACCAAACATTCATTGAAAGAATGCTGGAATGCTCTGTAATTTGTCAGTGTTAATATTAAATAGGAAAATGTGGCCCAAAGATTGTATCTTGTACATGAACCTTTGCTTGCATTGGAAATGCTTTTACTAATCCTACTCTGTTTCAATCTGCCAGTCAGGATGTTAAGTTTTGCAACATGAATGGATACACAATGTCCTCTATCTATCAGAGGCTTCCTCCCTCATTAGGAAACGCTGCGGTGTAAATCAGGGTTATTAGGTCTACAGGTCCCTAGGTCATGATGCTAGTGGCCGGTACCCATATCTCACCCATATAATGGACAAGCTGATTTACCCGATCATAGATCGGGTAGGGCGTATTTGTGTTGGGGTTGAAAGTGTGGGGAGTTAAATGTAAATGGGGGATTTAGTTGAGACGACATGTAGCTATAGAAAAGCAATTTACGGTGACGCGATCTGAGGCAATTTCTGACCACGTACGATATAGTAAAACAAAAGATCATCTTTTAAACATCATTTTCGAGTTTGGAGTCATTGAATCAGCTGTTCTGAGCAAAAGAATATTATAGTAGGCTACAATTTTTATTCGGGGAAGAAAAAGTGGGGGTAGGAAACCAAACGATATTGCCCGCTTTAAAATGTTGGGGTGGGGGTCCCCCGTCCTCCACCGATTGACGCCGCGCCCATGATAATTATGTACCATGGCATGTATAACTGTCTGTAAATTTTCCCGTTGGTCTGTTGCATTTTGTGAGGCAGTCGCGTTTGTTAATGTGGGAAAACTGAGTTGAAAGACTTACCGTTTAGTACACAGGCGAAGGCTGATTGTACTGTTTTGACAATAAATCATAATGCCTTAATGGAATAAAACGTGAAGGTGGCATTTGCAATAGAAATGTTGAGTGTGTTACCATAAAATTACATAGTCTGAATCATGGAGGAAGGTCATTATGAAGGTACAGTATTGGACTCTTCAACAAACGTAAACTTGAACTTCTTACAATTTGCGAGACCTGCGAGGAAAAAGTCGATTTAACTATTTTATTCAAGTTGGCATGGTTCAACCATAATATAAGCAAGGCCAACTTAAACAGCCAACAACCGCCAATATTATTATTTATGCACTCTTCGTTATTCCAACCCAACATAGTTCAAAGATCACAATATTTGAAGCAATGCATCGATCCCTCGTTGATTTACCCGATCATAGATCGGGTAGGGCGTAGAGTTGGGGATGAAAATGTGGGGAGATGAATGTAATTGGGGGATTTAGTTGAGAAGACATGCAGTTATAGAAAAGCAATTTCTGTGGTGCGATCTGAGGCAATTTCTGACCACTAAAACAATTTTTTTTTTTAGCAAAAGATCATCTTTTAAACATCATTTTCGAGTTTGGTGTCATTGAATCAGCTATTCTGAGTAATAGAATCATTATACATGTAGTAGCTACAATTTTTATTCGGGGAAGAAAAGTGGGGGGGGGGGGAGGGGACCAAAAAAGTCTCCACCGCTTTAAAATGGGGGTGGGGGGGGGGGGTGGGGGGGTGGAGGGGTTCCCCGTCCCCCACCGATTGACGCCCATGATAATTATGTACCATGGCAACAGTCTGTAAATGTTCCTGTTGGTCTGTTAAATTGGCATTTTGTGAGGCAGTGGCATTTGTGAGAAAACGTACTTGAAAGGCTTGCCGTAGTACACAGGCGAAGGCTGATTAGGAAGGTCATAATTAAGTTTCAGTATATTGGACTCTTCAACAAACGTAAACTTGAACGTCTTACAATTTGCGAGACTGTCTGCGAGGAACTTGTCGAGTCAACTGTTATTCAACTTGGGTCAACCATCTATATAAGAGCACATTTTACTCGGCCTCCGAGAAATGTTTGCTCCTGAAACGATCTGAGACCGCGGTCTTTCGCGACGCCAAAATCGCTCCACGTCCGTGGAAAAATGTGGAGGGTGTCTTCCGCCGGATCGGACATATTTTCGTTGATTTTTTGTGTGACTGCGTTTAAGATCGCGATGTTTGAAGCAATGCATCGATCCTTCGTTGATCCCAGACAGGCCCCCGAAATTATAACGCAACACTGTGGCGGGCAGCGAACTCACAACGCTCAGCCTTGGTGGAAGCATGGAGCTGTGTTAACACACGATGGAAGCAACAGAGCACTATACACGTCACTCACATGCTTGTGCTTCAAATCATGCAAATAGCGAGCACCGTAGACCCAACCTCGTTTCCAGGGTGTGGAGCAGGCTGCAGTACGCGTTGCCATCGACAGTTTTGCATAGCCCGGAAATACTACGCAGTGTAGACTTTCGATTGGTCAGACCGCGCAAGGCATACTTAATGTGTAGTCCTTCTGAGTATTCGTTGCACTCGGCGCAGGGGCGGCAAGCGAAGCATATGAAAGAATAGGGGTACTCGGTGGCCACGCACCATGGAGAAAAAATATTTTACCAAGGTCACCCCATCCACAATTTGGTGAACGCTTTTGCAGAACGGCTGAGTAGAACCGTAAACGAAACCCCTACGTTGACCTCGCTGACCTCGCACAGTCTAGACTCGCAGAAAAGCCAGCACAGGGGGCGGCCAGGCAGTCAACGTGAAAGCGCACATGACGGCAAATTCCTGTGCAAAATGCAGTCACGAAAAATAGACGAAAAGGATCGCCGGTCCGTACGGGAAAATCAGGACGACCCGAAGTGTCCGACCCGGTGGAAGACACCCTCCGTATTTTTCCACGGACGTGGAGCGATTTTGGCGCAGCGGGAGCCCGCGGTCTCGGATCCTTTGATGAGCAAACATCGTCTCGGAGGCCGAGTTAAACTCTCTCTTATATATATAGATGACCTACATGTAATTCATCAGGTCATGGCTACCAGTAATATACCTAACTGACTAGTCAAAACCTACATGTACAATGTAGTGAGTGGCTTAAATTGGCAGATTGCTCCTCATACAGCTGTTAAAAAAAAGTGAAGTGACTGATAGTGTGACAAGTTTGAAAATACCAGTACCGGTACACCATCATTATGTGGATGAATCTATATGCTACACATGAAAAAGTGGAAATCCACCTTGAAAACTACATGTACCATTTTCCTTATTGAGTAGTTATGGTTATGAGTGAATAGTCTCTTTTTACTACGTACACATAACTTGTAAATAATGGACCACTCTAAGCACTACTCATTTTCAGTTGAGCACATGAGTCTCAGTTAGGAGAACCCACACCTCATTGAATCATCAAAAGTCACATCACATTTGGCTTGACCCATTCACAGCAACTAGGCCCCTAACCTGTTTTTAGTCTGGAGTCTGTTCGATCACACGTTATCCCTACAATAGGCAGAAAACAGGCCAATCAATCAATATTGGAGAAAAATCTCCAATATTGATTGATGCGGTTGAGTAACTGTACTTACAATGTAAACTATCTAAAAAATTTGAGATTTAATTTTGTAATTCTGGAGCTACATGTATAGCAATATCTAAACTTACGCAAATAACCTTGGATTCACGTCTGTTTAAATATCCCCAATACGGCGTCATTACACCGCCCTTGATTGTTTATAAATACAGCGTATTTAGGATTTTCAAAATTAATTGGGCCTTAATTATGATAGTTAAGTGCTTTGAACTGACAAGCTGCCTGCATGTACATGTATTTGCCAAGTTGCAATTTTCCATTTATAATTAAAAAAAGGGCCAGGAATGCACACGTGCATGTACAGTTTTTAATAAAACATCCCAAATGTAAGGACATTGAAACTACCGGTAGTACTTAAAAAATGAATTGATCCATTGAAATGACTCTTTTTGGATCACCACTATTCATGTAATGAACACTTCCATATTCAGTGATGTCATGTTAGCAAGAGTTTCAGTGTGAAAACCCTGGACATTCCCCCCCCCCCCTTTTTTTGGGAGAGGACAGTAGACAATTATTTTTGAAGAACAGTACGTATCAGCAAACCAGGGAGAAACTTCAACTCTTACCATTGTGGAATTGTGGGGTCATGGCTTGTAAACAAATCCCTTAACAAAAAGATGAGTGCCATGAGGGAAGGCACAGCTATGCTGCCTTCAGGTATGTTTGGACAACAGCATGCACAATGAAAATAACAGGGGAAAATACAATAAATTAGTTTGTGCGAGAATTTCTCCAATTAATTTTAACAGGTTTTTCTTTTTTTAAGATTTCTTTTAAAAATATTAATAATAATTATAATTTAAACATGTATATTGCGCCCTTTATATTATAATGATCAAAAACACATACAAGTGACTACTTTTCATATAGAGCAGACAAGAAAAGACAAGACAAGACACGAGCAAGAGGTAATGAGAAGAGGCATGGATAGTTGCACAACAAAACATTCAATGGAACGTGACAGACTGCATTTATATGAATAGACAGCCACTTATTTCCTTGATTGAAAATGTGCTTTATCCTTAATGAACTACATTCAAATGATGGTCAACAAGGGTGAAGTTTGGCAAACCATGACACAATACATCTGGCACTCATTCAACGAATGCTCCCAACAATAAAATGCTGATGTAACATTTTACAAGACAGAGAAAAGAAACCGTATTGTGCTATAGCTGCAAGCATATTATAAGTGAAGTCACTTTGTGTGGTTTCTTTGACTACAACTCTCTACATCCATAAATCACTTCTTCCTCTGGGAACGATGCCTT